GAGAGAGAGAGAGAGAGAGAGAGAGAGAGAGAGAGAGAGAGAGAGAGATGGAGAGAGAGCGAGAGAGTAGAGCGAGAGACTCTATTACTCTTATCTCACGAGAAATATGGAATACACACGAGAAATATGGAATACACAAGAGAAATATGGAATACACAAGAGAAATGTGTTTTGGCATTGCGTGTACGGTCATTTGGTCGATTTTTACTGGATATTTATGCATAACTTTGGGGTGAAATTATTGTCCAATGTTTCCATGGTCGCTTTTATTGCTGTTTGCATAAGATGCGCAGCTTCGCGAGTTATTTCTATCTAATGTGATCGTGTGCTGTGATAACACAGAAGATAAATATTATGCGCATCGTTAATGTAATGTCGCTTTAGATTTATTCAACCATTCCAACCATAGAAATAATATAGATAGTCTATCTAGGCCCCCTATATTATTTCTATGATTCCAACAAATATTGTTTTCCACTAATAATTCCTCGCCCGATTTCAAATCTACTTTCGCGTAATGAGTTTCGCTAAAATTATTTTAATTATTAACGTTTATTATTACCACTTTAATTATTTTCTCAACTTTTAATTATTATCATTCCATTTCTACTAAAAAAATTAATGTAGAGCACATTATCAGACATCCAGAAATTCATTTCTGCTAATAAATAATGAAGAAAATTTATATAAAATTATATATATATATCGTCAGCATATATCAGCCAAGCTCCTTATTAAGGTGCATACGTTGCGATAGGTAATTCTTCATGGGATCGCACAGGTGTAAGCCACGATAACCATTACAACGGGGGAGGGGGATGTATATTGAATTCGCTCCTGTAACGCATGAGCGAGCTTTCTCGTCTCTGAAAAATATGATTCGATTCGAAGATGAGGAAATGATGAAACTTGATGACGGAGGTACGGATGTGGGAATGGCTTCTCGCTGTGACGTCACTACCACAGCCTCCACATCTGCCCTCAATCCATATTATTCGCGAAACGACCAACATTTTCAGAATGCGAGTCAACATTTGATATGATTGGATCCGTCGGCTCCCAATTTGTTCGACATTTCCCCGGACTCTTTTCGCATCGACAAGTGAAGGGGTTTCTCATCGATCTATACCCGGAGCAAACATCACTTGTTTTCTATGACAATTTTTGACCGAGCAATTTCGGGGATTTCTCCCCTGTTTCATTTCCCCTATTCCCTTTCGCAGCACCGAGTATATTTCCGTTTGAAGCAAGCCAGCTGAAATCCCGGATGTATTTATCAGTGGGTATACATCACACTGCACAACGGGTCAGCTATATCGCTCTGTTGAAAGATATATCGTGTCTCCTGGTCATCGTCCGATCCTCGCTATCTCCTGGCGCGGTGTGCACGCGCGCTGCATCGGGTAGCAACACGCGTTACATTCCAATCTGTCTGAAAGTTTCTTGAGAATCTCGTTAAAATCTTTCTTAGAATTCTGTCCGAGAATGCTCGCGGCCGAGACGTGCCGAGTTTGCGCAATTCTGCAACCAACGCTATATCTCGCAGACGATCGTCGGCATCGTCAGCGGCGCCGGCGCCGAAGTGTGACGTCACGTCGGCATCGTCAACGTCGTCGGCGCCGGCATCATCAGCGGCGCCGGCGCAACAGGAATGCGACGTCACGCCCAGCATCGTCAACGTCGTCGGCGCCGGGGTGTGACGTCACGCCGGCATCATCAGCGGCGCCGGCGCAACAGGAATGCGACGTCACGCCCAGCATCGTCAACGTCGTCGGGGCTGTACTGTGACGTCACGCCGGCTTTCTCATGTTTGCTAGGTCTTGCTGGGCCTCTGTCTAGTAGTTAGATGTTACGGTCCGATGTCAATTATAGATAGACGTGACTAAGGCTCGCTACTGCGCTGACGCCGCCGCCTCACGCAATTGCACGCAAACAGTTTCGGCGCGCAAACGAGGAGATGTTTTTATCATTCCGCGCACGAAAGCTGCTGCCGTGATGACGTCATAGGCACGCCATCGTTGTCGGCTGTGAACTACGAACGGGGCCTGGATTCGTTACCTGAGTGTTCGTACTGTCCCGCAGCCTAGGCTGCTACCCATGTATCTATCTATCTATCTATCTATCTATCTATCTATCTATCTATCTATCTATCTATCCACATATATATATTTATCTATATATCTATCTATCTATATCTATCTATCCATCCATCTATCTATCTATCTTCTTCTCTCTCTATATATATATATATAAATATATATTCCCTATTATCTACTTCTGTTATAGGGCTTATATATATATATATATTTATGTGTCAGTGTGCAGCAGCTAGCGTGCCGCGGTGCGGTGTGCTTGTGTGTTGCAGATGAGCATTTGACCGGCATTTACAGGTGATTATAGGCGAAATAGAGTAGAGAAACATTAAGACTTTGGTAGTAAATACATTTCGTGTTTATTTACCTTTTTTTATTTTTATTGAGACGTTCCAAGTGCCTGTGGTTCAGACGCATTTCTGCAACGCACGTCACTGTGCACAAAACTCACAGAAAGATCCACTCTGTCTTTCTGTTAGTTTGTGTACAGTGGCGTGATTGCGGTGAGATTGCAGCAAGGGCATAAAATTACTAAGTATACTTATTCCGTATTAAGCATACTTTAATATATGTATACCTACGTTGATTTATATGCTCTGGTAACTCTCAGATAAAAAAAAGGAACATATATGCACTTTTCTGCCACCAGGTGGCGCCACATTTGGCGCCATTCTTCGAGCACGCGCATGTCTTCTATCTTTGTTTTGGTTTCTAGACAATTTGCTCGTCTTCTCTCTTCTGTCGCTTGTTCTACCGTCTTACACAGCGGCAGAGTCTCTACGGAGACCGTAGGACGCCTCGCACCTCCATCTACAGGTATACGGTTATGTTTTATTGAGTCCCGTTGTAACCGACGGCGACGTAACTAACAATAATTGAATAACATGATAATACAACATTCAACCAAATGAGACGGGATACTAGAGAAGCGTTGCCGAAAGGAGATGTTGATCCCAATTGCGCTGAAGCGCAGATCTTTCGCGCAGTTCCGCGGCAAGGCGCACGCGACCGCGGGAACGTCCTACGACAGTATGCAGCGCTGGCAGCTATGGATCCGTGCGCCGAATGAATTGGCGATGTGTGTATGCACCTCCACGTCAGCGATCTCATATTACTCTTTCTTACAGTAGAGATTTCGCATTGTCTTCATTCATTCATCATTATGCAGATTATGTTTGGCACCATTGTTTTAAACCACAAGTGCGTTTAACATTTCTGTGGATTATCTTGGCTTAACCAAAGAGCTCAACCATTTGGCTTAACCAAATTGGCTTAACGAATTTATAAGCTCTTTGTGTTTCTGGATTTTATGTCTGAAAGGGCTTTCGTTTGAATTCACTTTCTGCATAGAAATGAGAAAGATCAAAATCAGATAAAATTCGATGTGACAGTCAGACCCTTCAAGGATATCGCGTTTCTTCGATGCGCTTATAGGCGCGTAGAATTTATTAACTGTAGGCCTAGTATCAGGTAACTCAATAATTCAGAAAATATTAAATCTACGCGCAAGTTTTGTGTGTGAATCATTTAGTTCATGATCATGATAATATTAATGATATGTCGTGTATGTCATTGATATGATAGGATGTCGATGATATTCAAGATCATGATCGGTATTGTTTCTCGTGATGCCCGCCTTTCCGCACCGCCACCTGGGGGTCTTTATAGAAAATTATGAAAATCTTCAAGCCGAAACAAGGAACGAACAGCTCTAGTAAATGTCGCCCCCAGCGCTCTGCAAGTTTTGCTAGGAAGGTAGCGTTGGTATAATTTGTTTTCTCCATCGTGCACGCCTACTTACATATAGTCGTAAAAGAAAAAGTATTGACGCATACTAACGATGTTAATTCATGGTGTCTGTTTGGGAACATCCTGCTTCATACAGACGTACATTTACTGCAATTCATCTCGATGTAGTTCTTAGACAGAGAGAGATAGAGGAAAACATGATCCTGATCGTCCGAGTTCCGCTATCAAACGCCGCAAAAACGCCTGTTAAAGCTTTCAGTATATTTCCTTGACGTGTTTTGATAACGGATCGCGGCTCAGAATTCCATAAAGCTCAACACAATATTTCCTTGCGCCAACGTTTCTTCAATTTCAACGCACCACGCGATAGCATGCAAAGCTGCCTCGGCTATCGCTATCTGCTAGCCCTGATATGGTGTTGGAGATAGAGCTGCATTGAAATATAAGTTCAACCTAGAAAACCACTTTCATATTTTACGAGCTTTTACAATGATGTCCCTCGCCGATGCATCGTCGTTCTATGTTCTCTGTTCTTCCACGAGCGCATGATTAGAATTTCTTTTCTAATTACGATACTCCGCGGATATGTGCGTGTTGTAGGGACAATTCGATCGATGTTTTGGAGGAGAATGAGTCTGATAACATTTAAAGCCAGATACATCCACGCGATGAGTTAGACGCATGTATTTTACATCCGGGGAATTCTCCTCGACACTCTTCGTTTATTTCCGGTGGGAATAATTAACCGAAGAAAATATAATCGCGCAATGAATGCAAATTACAGCAATTAATGACAAAGGATCATAACGCAGCGCATGTAAATGCCGTTTAGATGGTTACGATCATGTAGCATTTGTGAAAATTATGACGGCGAATGGATAGGATGATAATTACAGGACGTTTTTTTCAGTCTGCAAAAAACTCCATCACTACACGAATAAAATCCTGCGTCTTGTACAGCGTAACAATGGCGTACTGTCTGCCATTCTTGGCAATTTTTATGTTATTGGCGCATGCGCAGTACTCGCGTGTAATCTATAGGGCGGTTGTGATAATAGCGCCGGAGTTTTCATACATGGTTCGATGCAGCTCAGAGTATGTTTGTAATAGCTTAGATGAAGAATAATTAATAGATGATGAAGATAAAGCAATAGCCTAGCATGTGCGTAATCACAAAGAGTTACACACTGGCCAGAAATAAAGATGTAGTTAAGAAAATATAAATATGGAAACGCCACCTTGATGATTAAAAGTGGGTTGCCGGCAGCACAGCTATCGTTCGAGTTGGGTGGATGAGGTGGGTAGGGTAGGATGGGTAATGAAGGAAACAGACAGCACCAGTAGATATAGAAGAACGAGAAAAAAAACAAAGCAGAAAAATCGTGGAACAATGAAGTACGGAGTCGGGGTAGGTGTGGGAGTAGGTGTGGGGGTAGGTGTGGGGGTAGGTGTGA